TTGCCAGCTTCTCCGTCTCTCAAAACTGGGATATAACCACACTCCTCCTCCCACCTGGGCCAGGCTGAAAGCGAAATCGGCTGCTGCCTGCCAGGCGCTCCCATCCCGGGGTGCTGAGCTTTGTGAGAGAGACTGCGAGACCCGCGGCTGCCGGGCTCCCAAGCGGCGAAGACAGGCGCTGGGCTGCGTTTGCGTGGGATGGCGTGAGATTCGGGCAGATGGATAAAGCAAAGCACGGATGCCAGGAGCACGGGGAGGGTAGAAATACTGAGAACAAGACTGAGATATTTAATAAGCAGTAACTGTGGTAATAAAATTGTTTTTTCTAGTAATTACTTCTTGTTCTCTTCCTTCTTACACTACCAGTGCCGTTCCTTAGACCAGCAACCTCCCAGCCGGGGAGGGAAAACGCGGGACAACGCCAGCACGGGGGGACGAGCGAGAAACGGTGCCAGAGGGGAGAGGCGGGCTGATGCGGAAATGCCCCACGCAAACGGGCCCCTTAGGAAAGATGAAGACAAGAAAGCAGGAAAGATGAGTTTGAAGAAGATGGTCCTGCGAGAGGGTGAAAGGGTTTATGGACAAAATCAAGAGGATGTTGGCGTAAGGACGCCAGGAGGGCATAAAAAGATCGATAGAAAGTGTCAGCTGGATGCCCCGTTCATTTCTGAAAGCAACCACTGCTGTGGCCCCGCATGCAATTCATCAAGTTTTATTACTGTAATTAACCACAGATATGGAATTGTTTCCATCAAACCCCACAAGCATTTGTCTTGTTCTAGTCCATTAGTAATCTTTCCTTATAAATAACTTACAGGGATACAGGCAGGAGTTGTAGGATAAAGTGCTGAGCAAAGCAAATCCCATTTCCATTAATGTTAACTTGTCGCTCCCTCCGTTACCTAGTGTTTCCTGAGAAGGGGGATGGGAGGAAGGCCAGAGCCTGTAGCACCCCAAATAACCGCCCCGTTCCCCCAGGCGCCGCGGGAGAGGTCAGGTATACAGGAGGTTGCCGAGCCCCAGCGTTTCATGGAGCTGGGCAGGAGGCACCGACTCCCACTCCTCCCCGTGACCCGAGACACGTGCCCTCAAAGCAGCAACAGCCCCAGACACCGCGCCAGCCCAGTTTACTTCAAAACCACGGATAATATCCATGTATTGAACTCTGGGGAGCTACCAGAGCCTTCGTGCCCTTGGTGAGGGGCTGCGAAAGGCTCCTGTGCTGGACAAAAGCAGCAGCGGTAAAGAGGTTTTTGCTCCCCGGTGAGCTGGGAGCATCTGAACCCAACAGAATTGGGAACAGCCTCGGCTTTGGAGCACGCTGGTGCTCACCGCGCTGGCGGAGGCCATGCTGGGGAAAGCCTGACCTCCCAGCTGGCTGGGAAGGGCCGGAGCAGAGCCGGCATGGAAGTTATCCCACACCAGCATAAAAAACCACAGAGAGATCTCAAGGCCCGGCCCACCCACAGGGCAAGCTACCTGCTTCCCCCTCCTACAACCAGTTACGAATCACCTGCGAGCTGGGCTGGCTCTGCCTCTCGCTTCCAGGAAGGTCCTTGGAAAGCAGTGAGTATTTTGTGTCGGAAATACTGTCAAGAGATTCCCGCTGTGTTTTTTTGCAACACCTGTGAAAAGGCTTAGAATTACGATACGACATCTGTTACGCACACAGCAAACGACAGGCGCACACGCCTACAACCAGTTACGAATCACCTGCGAGCTGGGCTGGCTCTGCCTCTCGCTTCCAGGAAGGTCCTTGGAAAGCAGTGAGTATTTTGTGTCGGAAATACTGTCAAGAGATTCCCGCTGTGTTTTTTTGCAACACCTGTGAAAAGGCTTAGAATTACGATACGACATCTGTTACGCACACAGCAAACGACAGGCGCACACGGGACAGACTCTCCTCGCTCAACCACAACCTGGCTTTCCCACCAGAACCTGGACGAGCCGATTTGGAAGCGGCCATTTCAACCCACCAGCGATCGCCACAAACTGGGCGCAGCCGGCACGGACAGCATCAGCCTGCTCGACCTCCGGAGCTGCTACTGTCTCTTATCCTGCGTAATGCTTTCACACCGATGGGTCAAAGAGTAATGCTCTTGGTTTGCTCGTCTTCCTCAGTCCACAAAAAGAGGAGGGAGCAGCAGAGGACGCTCCCCAGGAGTCCTGATTTAGTAGCCGGGCCAAGCAGGGTGCTGAGGTTTTGGAGGAGGGGGGTACCCAAAGGGTGGGGGTGCTCCAGGAGGATAGGGAGGTGGCGGGGGGATTGGGAAACCAGGGAGAGGGGGCTGGGTCGGGTAGGGGCACTGCGGTCTCCCTGCCCCAGGGGGGAAGTAGGGAGGGTACCCGGGTCTGGGTGGCGGAGGAGAGGGATGAGAGCCAGGAAACGGTGGGGGCTGAGGCGGGGCCCTGGATGGAGACCAGGAATAGCCCTGCGCTGGAGTCGAACCTCCCGAGGGGGGTTTGGGATACCCCGGCGCCGAGTCGGCAGCCTGCGCTGGTGGGTATGCAGGACCTGGAGGAGGTTTATAGTGAAACGTGGGCTGAGTGCTCGGCTGAGGGGAAGCAACGTGTCCCACGGTGACCGGGGAGCCAGAGAAAGGAGCAGGAGGGAGAGCTCCATGGGCTGTGGGGCCAACGGGCATGCTTGTGGCTGGGCTGTAGGGCAATGGGAAGGAAGGAGCCCCTGGAGGGAAGGGCTGTGGCTTCGGCGGGGCCGCGGGCCCAGGGACGCGAGGAGGTGGCTGCTGCTGAGAGTCCTTGCTGGGCTCCTGCGACGCTTCCGACTTCCTCAGAATCTCCTGCAGCTTTTCAACTCTGACCCGGCGCAAGTGGGACAACTTCCTCATCACGGAAAACTGCTCGAGAAACGTCTCCAGGGGAACCTCGCCCTCCAGGAACTTCTCGGCCATTTTCTGGAAGAGAAGACAGCCTCGGGTTCAGCACTGCATCCCTCTACTCTTCTTCCCCCAGCCCAGCTTAGGACGTACATCTCTCTCTCGGAGACACACAGAGGACCGTTGCACCACACACAAGCAAACAAAGGACAATCCAATTTTGGGGAGCAAGAATGCCAAACTACAAAGAGATAATCCTTGATTTAAGGGATTAAGCTTGGGAGTGTAATTGCAAGTCTTTGAGCACTAATCACTTGAATTGCTAATGGATTTAAATCTTAAGCTCACCTCAGACTCCTCTTCAATTTTCTGGCTTTCCACCTGCAGGAGATCCAGCAAGGTCTGAGGATGCATCGCTGCCGAAAATTTTTCTGGAGAAGCAAAGGGAGCAGCAGAGTAAAACATCAAACACAAAACGGAAAAATCATTAGCGCGCAGCTCTGTTGCACTCTCACAGGAGTGCCTTCCTGCCTCGGAAACTGTTGATGCAAGGAGAAAATCAGAAGACGGAAGACCCTCAGCCACTGCTACGCTAGAAGGGTTTTTTGCTGGGATAGCGTCCTTGATCTGTCCGACTGAGTTTGATCAGGAAACTGCAGAACGTCGATTTTATAGGCAGCAGAGTCCTTTCTGCCACCACCCTAAAGAGTTTCTCTGCTCAGTATGGCCAAGGTAGGCAGAAGCAAAAGGGAAGGATGTTGCATTAACTACAGCCCACGTGACTCCATCGGAAAGTGTGCAAGGCTTGCAAACGCTCACCCAGTTTTGCCTTTTGCTCTTTACACCGCTCAGCCAGCTTCTGCAGCTCTTCGTATTTGTTAGAGAGGTCGGTGCGCCCCGTCTCCAGCGGCGCCTGGAACTTCAGGTTCTGCTCAGCCAAGCTCCGGTTGGCAGCCAGGGCCATCTCCCTTTCCAGCTGCAGCTCCTGAACCTGCAGAAGGAGACGGAACAGTCACCGTGGGCGAGGCGCTAACGAAGGCCAGCCGGTGTCACGCCGTCCGCACGTACCTCCTGGGACTCCAGGGCCAGGCGCTCAATCTCCTCTGCATTTTCCTGCAGCTCCTGGAGCTCCTCCACCGTCCGGTTCCTTAGCGTGTCCATCCTCCCAGAGGAGCTGCAGACTCCTAGGATGGAGAAAAGAAGTTAAATAAGACAAGGTTTTCTCCAGCCAACTGCAAATAGGTACTAATCCTATTACGGATTTAAAACCAGCTTTGGCTGAACTGCTTGAAACAGCTACACCAGAGAGGTTCCCCTGTGCTACAAAGAATCAGCGAGACCGAAGGCAGAGTGAGAAGGAAAACAGAACATATCTGCTCATTCCGGCTTTGGCAACTGACTTTTTTCCTTTTCACAGTATATTTGGAAGGATTACTGGCGTGTGCCAGACGGTTTTGTCAAGGAAACACCTACTCACAGCCACTCGATAGCAGGGCGACGTCACCCTGACTCTCAAGCTCCAGCTGGCTCTCAGCGCACCGTCCCATTCCAGATTCCCGTTCTGCTGAGCAAACCTCCTGGATCTGCTCGCATCCGACCGTGCCCACGGCCCACAGTCACTGGTGGGACCACCATTGCCACCCGTGTCTTCCTGTACCTCGCCACCTCTCCAGTTCCTCAGCTCCCATCTCATTTGATGCATTTTCTTTTTATCTCTTTTCCTTTCTAGTTATGTGGTGCCATCGCTTCCCTCGCTTGTTGCTGCTAACCTTAGAAAACACTGAGTGATGGCATTATTCCTATGTGGTGAACTTGATACAATACTTGTGATTTTAAAAATCAGTGAAATATTACTATAAGTAGGGAAATAATGGATTTTCTGCACTACATCCATGACTTATTCCAAGTAATCCAGGCTGTCTGATAATATTTAGCAAATATCAGACGTTCGTGTCACAGGTTCTAAGAGGTGGGATGCAATAATGCAGGAACACACTAAAAAAGAGGCGAGAAACACAGGAGCAGTGCAGTCCCACCGAGAGGGAAAGGGACATACCAAACAGCTGATGGGGATTTCAGTGTTGTCCTAATTGCTCGTGGCTCTTCTACCTTTCACCCGGGCGAAACATCCCAACGAATCGCTCTGGGAACGTTGCGTCAGTCTCTGCACGTAACACAGAATGACAAGGTAAGGCTCAGGGTTACCAAATCTCTTCACCCAAGATCCAGCCAAACTTGTCCGAGTAACAACCACATAAAAGCCGGGAAATGAGCTCCCCTACTACATACGTGTGTACATAACTTCATCGCTCTGCAAACAGAAATAAAATTCTGGGGGTTTTTTTGTTATTAATGAGGTTCACAGAACACAAGAGGGAAAAGAGCAGGAATAGTGGCAAATGGAAAGCTCAATCCCCGCTGCTGTGCAGGCGCAGAGGTCATGGATGGTCTGTGGGAAGTGTCTCAACAGCCCCCAGGAGAGTGGATGCAAAGAGCTGGGCACTGCCCCAGCTCTGGCCAGGCACCAGCACGGGGTACGGGCTCTGGCCTCACGGATCTCACCGGTTTTTAGCAGCGTTCCCGTAAGACGCAGCCAGCAAGGAGCCACTTGGCCTCTCCGAGGGGCAAGGCAGGGGTCCCCGTGGCTCGAAAAGGCTGGGAGCACCGGCGAGGGGCTGCCCGCAGGACTGC